GAAATTCAGCTTCCCCAATACCACCGTAGAACACTTACCCATGATAAATTTTGATCACTCACCTCTACTCATTCGCCTCCACAACCAAGCCCAAGAGGTAAGACTGTTCCACTTTAAATTCAATTTAGCCTGGACTTCTCACCCTTCCTTTTTATCCATTGTACAACAATTCTGGAAAGAGGACCGCGACGTGGCATCCAATAATCAGGAACTGGCCACAGCACTCACGATCTGGAACAAAAGAACCTTCGGCAACATATTTCAAAGGAAAAAGCACTTGTTGACTAGGTTGGGAGGAATCCAGAAACGCTTATGTTTCAATGCTCGCGCTGATTTTCTAAGACTCGAAAGGAAACTAAGGTGGGAGCTGGAGAAGACCCTGTACCAGGATGAATTAGTCTGGTTCCAACGATCTAGGGAGAGTTGGATTACTTCGGGAGATCGCAATACCCGCTTTTACCATGCCTCTACCGCAATCAAAAAGAAAAACACGAGGATTGCAGCTTTGAAGGATAGTCAGGGACTGTGGATAACGAACGAAAAAGAAGTCGTTTGCCATGTTAGAAACTACTATGTGAACCTCTACACCGAAGAGCTTAATCATAGTCATCATGCTCCACTGTATGGTCACTTCCCAAAGGTAACTGAAACAGAGTGGCAGAATATCAATGCTCAGTTCGGGATTGAAGAAATAAGAGAAGCACTCTTTGACATGGAACCTTGTAAAACCCCAGGACCCCGACGGTTTCTCAGCTAGTTTCTATCAAAAGGCATGGACTATTGTAAAAGAAAGCCGGGTGAAGTTAGTTCAAAACTTCTTTGAGAATGGCAGTTTACCGCCCGGGACCAATGACACGCTCATCTCACTAATCCCGAAAGTCCCAAATCCAGAAAGCATAAAACAATTTAGGCCTATTGGCCTCTGCAATGTTCACTACAAGTTGATCACCAAATGTCTCGTAGCTAGGCTTCGAAGCATTTTGATTAAACTAATTGGGCAGCATCAAACAAGCTTCGTCCCAGGGAGGTCTATAGCAGGAAATATCCTAGTTTACCAAGAAGTATTGCATTCGATGAGGAATAAGAAATGAAGATCAGGTTGGTTTATTATGAAAATCGATTTAGAAAAAGCTTACGACAGGATCTCTTGGAGGTTCATAGACGATACTCTTAAGGACATCGGTTTCAATCAAGCCTGGAGGAGGAGTATTTGGGAATGCATATCAACTTCGAAGCTATCAGTCTTGTGGAATAACCAACAAACAGAATGGTTCAAACCCGAGAAAGGAGTTAAACAAGGGGACCCACTATCTTCCATCCTCTTCGTCTTATGCATGGAAAGACTAAGCCACATCATAGAGGACTCGGTCAGGACCGGCAAATGGAAAGGCATTAAAATTGTAAGAAACGCCCCACTTATTTCTCACCTCTTTTTTGCAGATGATCTAGTATTGTTCGGAGAAGCTTCAACAGCACAAGCAACGGAGATGAAGAAATGTTTGGATCACTTTTGTGCAATTTCTGGACAGAAGATGAACCTTCAGAAATCCAGTGTGTTCTTCTCAGGCAATACACCGCTAGATATACAATATGCAATTACCCAAGCTGTGAATGTTCCCAAGGTGACCGATCTCGGCAAATATCTTGGCCTCCCATCTCTACACGGGAGACTAAAGAGCGAAACTTTCGCAAGTTTAATCGAAAAGATGCAATCAAGGCTAACCGGATGGAAATCAAAAACTTTGTCCTTTGCGGGTCGACAAGTCCTCGCGCAGTCAGTGCTCTCATCCATACCATTTTATGCAATGCAGTCCACACTGCTCCCAGCAGGTCTTATCGGCAGCATGGAGAAGCTAACCAGAAACTTCCTATGGGGAAATAAAGAGGGCGAAAGAAGGTGCATCAAATGGGATACAGTCACAAAATCCAAATCCCTCGGCGGCCTAGGCATACGCAAATTGGAACCTATGAACCTAGCTTTCTTAGCGAAGTTAGGCTGGAAGATTTTACAGGACGACAACGAACTATGGATTAGGATTTTCAGAGCCAAGTATTCAGTAACAACCCTGGACTGCTCCTCTTGGCATCTCAAAGCCAACAGCTCTAATGCATGGAGAGGAATTATCAAAGCTACACCCATCTTACAAGCAGGCATTAAAAAGAATGTGAGAAATGGAGTGGGAACCTTATTTTGGCAGGATAAATGGATCAGTGACACACCATTGAAAGAGTTAACCATAGAAGATCTAACAGAAAGGGATTTAGAAAGAACAGTAGCAAGCTATTGGGAAACAAACTCCGGCTGGCTATGGAGCAGTCTGAACCATCTCCTACCCGAAGAAATCATAAACAAGTTAGCAGCATTCATATTAATTGACGACCCGGAAGCGAAAGACACCATAGCCTGGGCCAAAGAAGCATCTGGTGAATTCTCAGTGTCCTCAGCTTATGATATAGCAAACGGTGACTCAAACACAGCCGAAGCATCCATGTGGAGCAATATATGGAAACTAAAGGTTCCAAATCGCATCCGCTCCTTTATATGGTTAGCAGCTCATGAAAGAATCATGGCTAACAGCTTTAGGGAAAAAAGGGGTCTCACCGACAACAACAAGTGCCGGAGCTGCAGTGATTCAGTAGAAGATGTAGACCACGTCCTTCGTTCCTGCCCGGAGGCAGAATCTATTTGGAAAGCAATCTTCCCCGAATCATTCATTAAAATGAGAATGCTACCTTTCTCCATATGGCTGGAAACAGGTATAACAGGCAAAGCGAATGGAAGAGAACCCCTCAATGTGAACTCGCTATTTTCTATAACCATATGGTGGATTTGGAAGTGGCGAAACGAAGCAGTATTCAACAATATAGTCAAACCACTTGGCCTCAAAATCTCATGGATCACAGCTCAGACCACGGAAACAGACAAGGCGTTCACCAAATTCTCAGGAAGTTTAACATCACAAACAGCAGCATCGTGGAAACAACTAAATTGGGAGAAACCACAGGATAACCACTTCAAACTAAATGTGGATGGATCAGTTCTGGACAACTCATGCAAAGCTAGCTGTGGGGTGGCCTAATCAGGGATAGCTCAGGCAAGTGGTGCAGTGGTTTTGCATATAATATAGGTAATTGTACACCCCTTGAAGCCGAAGCATGGGCCATGCTAAAAGGAATCCAATTAGCTGTAGCCAAGAAACACAACAATTTGATCATAGAAAGTGATTCCTCGAACGTTATCAGCTACATAAAAGGGAGCAGCCCCCCTCGTATCCCAGCGCACAACATCCTCGAAGCCTGTAAAAAAGAGCTCCGTCACATTGAAACTTGGCAAGCAGTACAAGTAGCAAGAGAGCAGAATATCACAGCACATCGCATCGCATTCTACTCTAGAAATTTCCCCCCTGGAGTGCACATTCTGAACTCACCTCCAGATGACATATTAAGCTTTTTAGAAGATGATATAGCTGGCTTCCCTTCGTGGAGATTTATGTACAGTACTCTTTGATGTTGTCTCATATTCTTTGGGTCTCCCCCTTCCTAATAAATAAAAAAAAAAAAAGAAAAAAATTATGCGTCCTTAGCAATCTTACGTGGATCCTAGAATAATTGGGTAGATGATGAGTTAAGAAAGACCAAGTCAAGGGACCAACATTAAAAAAAAAAAAAAAAATTTACTCTTTTTTTTTTTTCACCAATGAATTTTTTAGTTCTTGACTTCTTGCCCCACTGGTGCAACTTCATAACACTAAAATACAATTTAAATATCTAATTTCCACATTCAAGTACATAAAATCAATCATCATCATTCTCTATATAAATCTCCAATAAAATTACAAGCATTTATTGGCGTTGATGGTATAAAAAGTTTCTAAAAAAAAATATTATTATGAAAAAAACCAAGTCAATACTCAATACTCATTGGAAAATTCTATTTACATCACCATCTATTTTGCTATTTGCACCACCTATTTAATAGGTAAAATAGCTTTATAGGAGGTGTAAATGCAAATTTGTTATTTACACCACCAGCATTAAATATGGTTAAAGATTATTATTTGTTTTTCATTTTTTTAAATTAAAAATATTAAAATTAAAAAAAAAAAAAAGCTTACGTCACCTTCTCCGGTGAGAAGGCAATCCCTGCCTTCTCACCGGAGAAGGCAACCCAGTGGGTTGTTTAAAAAAAAAAAAAAAGCTTACTTCCCGTCACCTTCTCCGGTGAGAAGGCACCAGTGGGTTGCCGAAGAAGGCAACTCAGTGGGTTGTTTGAAAAAAAAAAAGGAAACCATCGCCTTCTCCGGTGAGAAGGCAACCCATGGGTCGCCTTCTCACCGGAGAAGGCGACCCATGTAGGCTTCTCCGGTGAGAAGGCAGCCCAGTAGGTTGCCTTCTCACCGGAGAAGGCGAGATTTTTTTTTTTTTTTTAATTTTGAATTAATTAATTATTATTAAATTCTAATAAATGTGATTTAATTAAGGTAGTGCAAATAGCATTTTGACCACTCATTAGGCTATTCGGAGAAGGCAACCTACTGGGCTGCCTTCTCACCGGAGAAGGTGACAGATCTCCTTTTTCTTTTTCTTTTTTTTTTTTTTTTTTTTTTTTTTTTTTTTTTTTAATTTTAATGTTGATTTTTTTTAAAAATAATAAATATTACTTTTTGACCACATTTATTAATGGTGGTCAAATAGCAGATAAAGTTATTTGACCTATTATATAGGTGGTGCAAATAGTAAAATATGTGGTGTGAATAGAATTTCCCGATTTATAAGTTTCAAAAAAAAAAAAAAAAAAGAATTGTAATTGAAGTCAATGGCTCCATGGGACAACATGTATTTGATTATTGCATTTTCAAAGCTCTAGGCAAGCTGCCTTCTTCTTCATCCTTTGCTAGTCTGCTACACGGCCTTTTAATTTGTAGCTCTTTAAATCTTTAGTTATAGCTCAAAGGCATTCTGCTTCAAAATCTAGATAGATAGTATACTCAATTTCAAGTATGGCATCATCATCTTCTTCTTCTTCTTCATCATATGCTCGCACATATGATGTTTTCTTGAGTTTTAGAGGTGAGACACGAGGATCCTTTTCTGATCATCTCTATGCATATTTGAGGCGAGCTGGGATTAACACTTTTCGAGATGATGAATCGATTCGGAGAGGCGAGGATATTTCCGTTGAGCTGTCTAAGGCCATAGAGGAGTCAAGGATATCCATCATCGTATTCTCCAAAGACTATGCCGGATCTAGATGGTGCCTAGATGAGCTTGTGAAGATCATGGAATGTAAACAGACGTTGAACCAGATTGTTTTTCCTATATTTTATGATGTTGATCCTTCAGAGGTTCGGAAACAGACTGGCATGTTTGGTGATGCATTGACCCGACATAGAGAACGGTTTGAAGATCAAAAAGTTAATGAGTGGAAAGTTGCACTCACTGCAGCTGCTAAGCTGCTAATTTGTCTGGATGGGATTTACAAACCATGAAAAATGGGTAATCCTAACTCTTTTAAATTTTCTTTTATTTTTGGATATTTGTCACAATCTAACACACTTACTCATATAGTAAATTCATATTTATGGTAATTTTTAAAATAAAAAATTTAAAAATAATTTGAGAAGAATCTGCATCTGCTTTTAAATAATTTTTGCTTATAGGTTCTGAACATAAATCTGTATTTGAAAATCGAATTTCTGTGGAATTTTAATTTGTACCCATGGATCAGTAATGAGCTGTTTTCTTGTATTGATAGTGGTCTATTTTTTAAAGATGGAAATTTCTTTCATACTTTTAGCCTAAGTATGCATGAATTATACTCACATAAATTTAAAATTTGACCAGGTATGAGTCAAAGTTCATTGAGGCAATTACTAAAGATGTGCTAGGGGTGCTGAATTTTATGCCCATGAATGTTGCAAAGCATCCTGTTGGAATTAATTCTCGTGTTCAAGATATACTCGATTTATTACAAGCTCAAACAAATGATAGTGTTCGAATGATTGGAATTTTTGGCATGGGTGGTGCGGAAAAATCAACCCTTGCTAAAGCCATATACAATCACTTGATCATGAGTTGTCACGGGTTTGAAGGTAGTTGCTTTGTTGCAAATATTAGACAAGAAGTTTCTAATAAGGGACACAATGGACTAGTTGGTTTACAAGAAATGCTTCTTCGCAAAACACTCAAGAGGAAGAGTTTTGAAATTGATAACATTGATGAAGGAATAAGTTTGATCAAAACAAGATTGCAATAAAAAAAGGTTCTTATTGTTCTTGATGACATAAACCACATAAGTCAACTAGAATCATTAGCAGGACAACGAAATTGGTTTGGTTCAGGTAGTACAATTATACTAACAACCAGAGATGTTCATTTGTTGAGTGACCTTGGAACACAAGAGAAGTATATGGTTAAAACCTTAAGCGTTGATGATTCGTTGCAACTCTTAAGTTTGCATGCTTTTGGAGTTCCTGTACCACTAGAGGAGTATAATGAACTATCCAAAAGGATAGCAAGTTATACTGGCGGACTTCCATTAGCACTTACAATTATAGGTTCTCATTTGCGTGGAAGATCCATGCAAAGAGTGGTTCGAAGATGCTGAGAAATTAAAAAGCAATCCTCATGAAGATGTTCAAAAAAATGCTTAAAATAAGTTATGATGCACTTGATGATGATACTAAGAACATCTTTCTTGATATTGCTTGTTTTTTTTATTGGGCATAACAAAAATGCCACTTCTATGATATTGGAAGCTTGTGGTTTTTATGCTAAAAGTGGAATAAGAATTTTGATTGAAAGATGCTTGTTGACAACAAATGGAGGTGGAAAGTTTGAAAGGCTTCAGATGCATGATTTAGTACGAGATATGGGAAGAGAAATTGTTCAAAAGGAATCTCCACGAGAGCCAGGCAAACAAAGTAGATTGATTGACCCAAAGGATGTCTTTGATGTTCTTCACGGGAACAAGGTAAAATATTTCCTTTGTATTTGAGTTATTCTAGTTAATTCATTTGCTTTCTATACTTAACTTTATTAAAATCAAAGATTTCAAAATATTTAAAATCTAAAATATTGTTATATAAATTTTTTTTTTATAGGGCACAAAAGCAATTGAAGGGATGATGGTTAATTCTAACATGTTAAAGAATGTGCCTTTGAATACTCAAGTATTCAAAAGGATGGTAAAGTTACGAATACTCATATTGAATGGTGTCTCAGCGGATCTTTTAAATATTTATCCAATAAGCTTAGGTTGTTTAGATTACACAATTGTCATTTGAGTTGCATACCATCTAATTTTCGATGTGAGAAACTTGTTGAGTTAGACATGGAAAGTAGCAATATCAAAGAATTCCAATGCAATATGAAGGTTAGTATGTCTAATACAATGTTTCTTTCAACATTGCATATTTCTTAGTTAAGAACTTTGATTAGAAAAATAGAAATTGATTAAACCTTTTTCTACTTTTTTCAACAGAATTTTATATGCTTAAGGATCTTAAAGCTTAAACGTTGTGAACAACTTAAGAAAACACCAAACTTCACTGGGGCACATACTCTTCAAAAAGTATCGTTTTTCTGTTGTTCAAATTTGGTCAATGTACACCCATCAATTGGAAGTTTGGAGAAACTTGTTGAGTTAAATTTTGGAAGTTGCAAGAAACTCGAGGTTTTTCCAAACAGCATTTGTAAGTTAAAATCACTTGAAGTTTTAGATATAGATCATTGCGTAAAACTGAGGGAGCTTCCAATTGACTTCGGAAAATTAGAGCAACTAAGAGATTTACTTGGTCGTGGAACTACCTTATCACATTTACCATTTTCTTTGGGATGTTTGAGAAATCTGAGGAAACTAGATCTCGAGTTGTACAACAAATCTGTACTATCAAAATTGCCTCTTTTGTGTTCAAGAAGTGTACTATCAAAATTGCTTCTTTTGTGTTCAAGAAGAAGTGGTGATGGTGTTGGTTTTTTTCCTCCTTCAGTTGCAAATGTGTGCTCCTTGGAAGTTATTGAGAATTTGACCTCATTGGTATGTTTAAATTTATCAGGAAGATGTTGTTATCGTCTTCAAAGCTTACCCTTCCACCTTTGTCATCTTTCAAACTTGAAATTTCTCTACTTGGAGGATTTACAAAATCTTAGAGTACTTGTAGAACTTCCTCCTAGTTTGGTGTGTTTCAATGGAAAAAATAGCTGCTGTATCAAACTTGAAGAGACTTAGACTCTTGCGGCTTCGAAACTGCAAAAGTTTGATTGAGCTTCCAAACATGGAGAGTCTTTCATCCTTAGAACAACTTGACATAAGGAATTGCAATGCTCTAACTATTCCAGCTGACAAGTATTTGCATGAAACCTCGATGAAAGAAACATATTTAATGGAAAGATATTATCTTCAAAGTTTACCATTAAATCAATATTCCAATTTGCGGATTCTATGCTTGGATGATTGGCAGAATCTTAGATCACTTCCACAACTTCCTCCTAATTTGGAGATACTCTCTGCAAAGAATTGTGTCTCATTGGAAAGAATAGCAGATCTTTCAAACATGAAAAGACTCAGTAGGCTAAATATTCAGAACTGCAAAAGTTTGGTTGAGCTTTTAGGCTTGGAGAGTCTTGAATCCTTAAACTATCTTGGGATAGATAATTGCAGTTGTTTGAGGATTCCTTCGATGGAAAATTGGTTCAAGGTTAGTTATATCTATTCCCTTCATCTCTGATATTATATTAGATTAGATGGATGGTAATAGTTATATTGTATTATGTATTCCATAATATAGGCACGTTCTGAAGGTGACATTGTCCACATTGTGGTTGGAGCGTCCAACGGGGGCGAGGGGTTCTGCAGATTTCCTATGCCTTGGGGGGATGTAACGTTTGAAATCCCCCACGATGTGATTGATCCCTGCAATAAAATTGAAGGAATTGATTTGAGTGTGAGAAGCAAAAGCAGTGGTGCTTGGATTCTTCGAATGGAATCCCCCAGAATCTCTTATTATCCTGCGTATTTTGATGTTCCAACAATGATGGGAGAAGTATTGGAGGTGTACGCAGAATTGTATCCTTCGCAGGTGATATTTTTTGCATTTGAAATACATAGAAACAGAGAAGGAGAAGTGCGTTTCTTTCCATCCACAAAGGCGATGTATTCTTTCCCGCCGGCAATTTCATCAACCATAAATTAGAGGTGTCAGAGGAGAGTTACGTTGTGCTTATTGTAAGTATATCCTTCACACTTGACAGACACCTCTTTAACATCGAACTATATATATCTTTTAATTTGTTTTTTATTTAATGGCCCATTTTAATATTATATATATATATGTATATATATATATATATATATATATATATATATATATATATATATATATATATGTGTGTGTGTGTGTGTGTGTTATTTTGATTAAAGTCATCATATTTGATTTTATTTTATCTCATAGTTAACCTTGTTTTTATGCTTTAAATATAGTGATTGTGTTCAAAAGAGCTTTTATTTGCTATGTTTGTGTGGATATGTAGGTACAATTTAACTTGACCAAAGCAATTGTATATGAGTGGTTTTCATACCATTTTGATGGAAATTAAACAAAAGGGATAGGAGATCAAGAATTGGATCAAAAAGCCTCAGGTCGGACATGTACACACGGGATGTGAAGAGTCGCACATAAGAAGTACATGAGTCATCCAGTGTGGTGAAAGTAAGGAACAAAGCAAGGTGGACCCCTCTATACAAGGTAAAAGAATTGATTTTGAGGTCTCAACAATGATGGGAGGTGTACAACAGGTGGACCCCTCTATACAAGGTAAAAGAATTGATTTTGAGGTCTCAACAATGATGGGAGGTGTACAACAAGTACTACGTGTGTATAAGAGCATGCATGATGGCTGGAGTAAGAGAAGACACAGAACATGTTGCATTTGCGAGTTACGTTTTTCCTAAAGTAATTTTATTAAGCTATGATGTGTAGCTAATACTATAGCTTAATGTTATGAAATTGGAGGGTTTAATTTAGCAATGCTGTGAATACATGCAGGAAGAATGAACAATTAAGAAGAAGAATAAGAAGATGGTGAGAGTGGATGCAATTAAATTGCAGTGGTTTGAGGTTAAGTGAGTTTAAAAGAATTCACTTTGATCTGTGGTCCCAAGAATAATTGGAGAAGTATTAGAGATGCATGTATGCTGAATTCAATCCTATGAACCAACATCACATAGATTGAAGTGTGCTACGAGGTTTCAAAACTGGCAAGCAAGAAACATGAATGATATTTAGGGTCGTGGAGTTGTAAATATATTTTTTTGAAAAAAAGTTTGGTAAGAATTGAATGTTGTTAATTTATTGATCATGCAGATATTTTCTAATAATGTATCTTTTGATTGAGTGTGATTTTTCTCTTGTTATTGACCTCTTCGATCTAGTTAATCACAAGAGTTGCTATTTTTTGGATAAATCACACTAGGAAGACTGTGTGATGGGCTGGCTCAAGCATGAAATTAAAATCAAAAGGTTGGCTGAGCTTACAAATTGCAGTGCTTTGAGGATTCCTTTGATTGAAGGTGACACTACTGTCAAGATTTTAATTTGCTTTAAGTATGTAAAACATTTGTCTGTTGCATTATTCCAACGTTTTCGAGGCATGGATTCGTTTATATGTTTTCAATGGACTTTGATTTTAATTTGGTCAGTGCAGGCAATGGATCATATCGGAGTTACATTGATTGGTATCACTACCAGAAAGCAAAATAAAGCCAGTGGTGCCTCAGCTTGGTGGGTTGGAGATATATGAATAATGCAGTGTGGATCGGAGAAGAAGAAGAAGAAGAAGCTAAGTATGGAAGATCAGATCAGTATTGATTTTGAGGTCTATGGAGGGACAAGTAGTGTTGGAGGTGTATGCACAATTCCATCCTTAATTTGCATACACTTTATATATTTGAAATGCACAGAAACAGAGAAGCCAAGGACAACTGCACTTCTGTCCATCCACAAGGCCTTCCCTACAATTTAATTTCATCACAAATTATATATATCATGAATCAAGGGGTCTACTTTGCATTGTAGATTAAAATTTCAAAAAGTGAAAAAATTCAGACATAAAAGATGTCATTTTTCATTATTATTATTATTATTATTATTATTATTATTATTATTATTCCTTGAAACAATAAGAATATATATATATATATATATATATATATATATATATATATATATATATATATATATATATATATATTAAGAGCCAAAGAGAATTAGACCTATAATGGGTAGAAAAAATGACGGTCAAATTTTTTAATCAAACGAATAACTCAGATTAATCAGATTTTAATTTTTCCTTGAGATTTCTTAATTTATCCTTAATTATATGATTATCCTTTAACTTTTCCATTAAATATTATCTTCTCCGATTTCTGGTAGTTCATCGTTAACTTACTCATTGATTTCAATAAGAAAGGTCTTAGGTTCGAACCTCATCCCAATAAAAGTTTGCAAAATTAGTACTCTATTTTACGCTTATTAAATTAAAAAATAATTTAGTAGCTACAACAAAAAATAATAAATATGCATTTCTTTAATTTATAATTATGTCTCTACAATTTCTTTATTCAAAAAATAAATTATTCATTATCAATAAATTAAATAAGAGAAATAATTTTCATTAGTTATATTGTCTTTATTTTTATCCAATATAACTACAGTTTCATTTGATATTATACACTCAAATATGTGAAAATGTTATTTAGTTTAATTTTATATACACTATAGTTTCATTAAAACACAACTACATTATCATTTCAATATAACTACACGTTCATTGCACAATATACACTCAAATATGTGAAATGTTATTCAGTTTCATTTTATATACACTGTAATTTCATTTCAATACAACTACAGTATCATTCTGATATAACTACAGTTTCGCTGGACAATATTCACTCAAATATGTGAAATTGTTATTCAGTTTCATTTTGTATACATTACAGATTCATTTCAACACAACTACAGTTTCATTTCAATTCAATTGCAGTTTCATTTGATAATATAAAAATAATACGTGAGGCAGTGTCAATTTAGATATATACACTCTAGTTTCAGTTGATTATTAACATAGCAAAAAATGCGTGCTCCGTTAAATGTAACGTCGCGTCGTTCTTTACTTAAAGAAACGGCGCCGTTTTTGGACTGCGGTCCACAAAGCTTTCTGGACCTCGGTCCGGCCACAGTATAATTGCTGAGGGCTGAGAAGGATAAGGGAGCAAAGGAAGAGTGTTTTTGGCTAAGTGTTTGAGAAGAGAGTTAATTATTTTTTCTTTTATTTTTTTAAGAAAGAATAACATATCTAATTAAGCAAATTAAAGTAAGTTTTTTTTTAAGTCTTCATTTTTTTTTCTAATTTAAGTAAATATCTAGAATATAATCTTCTAAATATATCTACTATACTAATAAGAGCCAAAGAGAGTTATGCCTACAATGAGTAGAAAAAATGACGGTCAAATTTTTTAATCAAATGAATGACTCGGATGGATAAGATTTTAATTTTTCCTTGTGATTTCCTAATTTATCCTTAATTATATGATTATCCGTTAACTTTAACGCTAAATATTATCTTTTCCGTTAATTTCTGTTAGTTTCATCGTTAACTTACTCATTGATTTCAATAAGAAAGGTCATAAGTTCGAACCCCATTCCAATCAAAGTTGGCATAATTAGTACCATATTTTAATTTTATTAAATTAAATAATAATTTAGTACCTACAACAAAAAATAATACATATGCATTTCTTTAATTTAGAATTATGTGGGTCCACAATGCCTCTATTCAAAAAATAAATTATTCATTATCAATAAATTAAATAAGAGAAATAATTTCATTAGTTATATTGTCTTTATTTTTCTCCAATATAAAAATTCTTTACATTCAAATTCATCAATTAATTATATTCGCTACATTGTCCCTACAATGTCTTTATTCAAAAACCAATTATTCATAATCAATAAATTAATTAAGACTCTTAATTAATTTATTGATTATGAATAATTGGTTTTAGGCTAAAGTGTCATCTAGCACCATGAACCATATTCGATTGTTCATCCCACACCCTGAACTTTCATATCATATATATCAATCCACAAACCAAAAAATAAAATTCACCTACAACTTTTAGCAGGTTTCCCTTCTTCCTGCTGACATGGCACCTGATGTGGCATTTCTCTTAACCTTATGTTGTCCATGTAAGCATTTACATATTTAAAATTTAAAAAACCAAAATTATTATATAAAAAAACCATAATTTTCTTCTCTTTATTTTCATAATTTATACTTTTTCAATTTTTCAATTCTAATGTTTCAATTTTTTTTTTCAGAATTTTTATTTTTTGCATAATTTTTTGTTTAATATTTTTCCAGGTTTCCTAATTTATAGAAATGCTAATTTTTTTTTTGTTTAGCATTTTCGCACATAAATATATCCACCAAGTGAAATTAAAAATGAAATCAAGTTACTAATATAAATTGTAAAAAGAAAAACCAATATATATTATTGCTAATAACAAAACAAAATAAATTCTCAATTCATAATCCACTAGCTACTTAAAAGACAAAATCGTACATACAAAGTAGCCATAAACACCAGCTAGTTAATAATAAAAATAAATAAAAATAATGAGAAAAAAAAAAGTGACTTCATCCATCTTCATCTGCCTTCATGGTCCCATTGAGCTTCACTCTATGGCTACACAAAAGAAGAAAGCATTGTCAATTAATCATAAACTGCTAACAACCATCTACATGAATTATTTAAATCTGCATTATGTTCAATTTATTTACCTGACATTCCAACAAAGCTTTCCTGAGACAAGTTTGTCCCTCTTCCACTTCCCCTCCCTCTTCCTCTTCCTCTCCCTTTCCCTCTAACAGTAGTCGATGGTCTTCCTCTTCCTCTAACAGTAGAAGAATCGGCAGATTCTACTTGTTGGCTTGACAATGTAGGACAAAATCGTTTGTTATGTCCATTTCCCTTGCATAATTGACATGTCATAATTCTTCCTTTTCTAGACAACTTTCTAACCTCTTCACTCATTTTTCGTTTGTTTTTTTCATTTTCTTCAAGCTTTCTTTTCTTCTTTGGCCTACCAGTCATCTTCCTTGGAACAGGAGCAAGTATTTCATCACCTTCAGTCCTTGGCCAAAAGATTTCCCCATTCAATGGTTGGATTACATGCTCATATGTCTTCAAGTATAGCTCCTTACTATAGCATTCATGTATGTACTCTTCAGGCTGATGTCCTTTGTGAAATATTGCACAAATACCATGACGACATGGGATACCAGTCAACTGCCAAAGCCTACAAGAACAGGTCATCAATTGTAAATTTACATTGCATTGAAATCTGCCTTTTTTAATCTCATACCCCTCAACTCCATTGAATGCCACTTCCCAACCTGCACTCCCAAGTATGCTTTCATTCAGTTTCTTCATGACCAATGACCCACAATTCCCTCTCCAATTTTGAGCCCATGCTTTTTTCTTTGCAACCCTCTTCATTGTTGCTACTCGTATATCCTCAAGCATTGGAATTATGAATTTTGACCTTGCATTCAACAAAATTTTGTTGAATGCCTCACTCAAGTTGTTATCTACCATGTCACACTTCACATCTTCCTTGAAGTAAGCCTTGCACCAAAATTGCATAGGATATTTGTCAAGAGCAACGCGAGCAGCAACATCTATCTTCTCTAAAGCCTTCAAATTTTCAGCAAGTTGTGCTTCATTTGGGGTCTTTGCAATCTGCCAGAAATGAGTCTTTAGTACCTTCCCTCGGTGGCTCTTACTCCAATTGGCATGCACATGCCTAGCACAGTTTCTATGTTGAATTCCCGGGAATAGATCTTTAATGACATTGGATAATCCCTACAAAAGATATGCCACAAAACAAAGCAAACTAAATTTAAATACATACAAACAAATTCAGAAAGTACAAAGAAATAGATTGAGAAAATGAAATTAGATTATTTACCTTTTGTTGATCACTCATTAGAGTCCATTCACTGATGTCCGTAATGTCCAAGTCTGTCTTTAGAAGCCCCAAAAACCATCCCATTGAAGAGTTATTTTCAATCTCAACTACAGCCCAAGCAATTGGGTACATTTGATTATTCCCATCCCTACCAATAGCTGTGAGGATTTCACCTTTCAATTTGCCCTTCAAGAAGCATCCATCAAGTCCAATAAACTTCCTACATCCCGCTAAGAATCCCTTCTTCATGGCATTAAAGCATACATAAATCCTCTCAAACACCAAGGGTGAAGTAGGAGTAGTTGTTGTAGTTGTTATCTTCACAGTAGAACCTGGATTTGAATTTAGACACTCTTGAGCATAGTCTCTAAGCCTCTTGAACTGACTCTCATACCCTATATCCAACTTCTTTAGAATCCTCATCATTGCCCTTCTACACATACTCACCGTAATATTGATGTTCAACTCAGCTTTAATGACCTTACTCAACTCTGCATAACCAATAGTAGGATTTTGCCTTCTTTTTCTCTTATCCCTACCTTGATTTGGAATAGTGTTCTGATCCCTCTCTTGGTCACTATCACTCTTCGTACCCTGCTTACTGTTATTATCACTTTCACTTTCAGTTTCACTCTCGTCTTCACTCCCAATTTCAGCATTTGCCTCAACTTCACTACCCTCATGCTCGCCCTCTAAATCTGACTCAACCACATCCTCAGCTTCAACTTCATCCCCTTTAGGCCCCGGTAAGCGTAAACCCACCACTTCAGGCTCATCTACTCCATGTTCAACATAAATCTCACACTTTTTATTTTGACGAGCAATCTGAGCTAAGTGTAGACTACTAGTATCATTGTGTAATACTTTTAAAGCTTGAAAGGGTTCAGAGGTCAACTTGTAAGTAATTGAGGCTATTTTCCCATATCTTTGATCTGATATATATTTCAGTAAATGGGGATAACATATTAAGTCAGGGTCCATACGTACTACCTCAGTCTCCCCATCCACATATTGT